CGTCCCATAAAGTCCGTTACATTTCTATTAAAAAACCACTTTTACTCCTTACTTTTTCATACCCTACCTATCACATCATACCTTTTCTCTAATAATCTACCCATCACATCCTACTTTTACCCATCACATCAAGGGTATTTTTGGAAAGTCAATACCAAAATATCCCTCCCTTAATTTCCCAAAAAGTCAAACAGTCCTATTCTTTTTGGGACGGAGGGAATACAATTTAGAGATCGAATTTAAGAACAAAGTATATATGAGGAAGATGTGATGGTTCGATCTCGAACCTGTCTTGATGGCCAAACTTGCGAGAGGCTTTGATTTATATACACAGGAAAGGATGAGGAGTTGTCGTTCGCGACTTCCTATGTGTCTAATTAATTGCAAGAGGTAGAGAGGCAGACGCCCTCTATCGGATAAGGGTCTGTATGTGTACGTACTTGCTCGATCGATCAAACCAATTAGTCGGCAATCCACTTTATTGGTTTGTATAGGCCAGCCGGCCGCCGGCTTGCTTGCGTCCATATCCATACATATATGCATGCATGGTTCCCCTACGTCACTACTGCCTCCTACTCCTTCCATTCCACAAAACTCTTCCTCTTTTGTTTTTTTTGCTTTCCACAAAACACTTTCACTTTCTATTAAAAATCCACTTTTACCCCTACTTTTTTATACCCTACCTATCACATCATATTTTTTCACTAATAACCAAACTATCACATCTTACTTTTTCCCATCACATCAGGGCAAAATTGGAAAGTCAACCAAAATTATACTTTCCTTATTTTTTCCCAAAGTCAAAACCGGAAGAGTTTTGTGGAACGGAGGGAGTACATAATTAGCTTACTCTTTCCCGTTCTAAAAAAACACTTCTTCTTTCATGTTTTTCACTTTCAACAAATCACTTTCACTTTATATTAAAAAACCTTTTCACCCTACATATCACATCATACTTTTCCTCTAATAATATATCTAAGACATCTTACTTTTACCCATCACATCAAGAGCAAAATTAGAAGTTAACTACAATTTAACACTTTTTTATTTTACCACTGTTAAAATATAAATAACTGTTTTTGAGCCACAACCATAAGCTTGAGCTTTTGGTTGAATTGGTTCTTTGGCATGGTATCGGAGCCTCGTTGACTAAGAAGTCACGGGTTCGAAACTCAGCGCCACCTAGTTTAAACAAATTAAGGTTTCACGTGCAATGCTCGAAAAAGACTACGTCTACACGTGAGGGGGCGTGTTAGAATATAAATAAATGTTCCTGGGCCACAACCATAAACTTGAGCTTTTGGTTGAATTGGTTCTTTGACAACCACTTGGTCAAAAGTAGAATTCTTTTCAAGAACGGAAGGAGTATTAATTAATTTTTTGCTGTAAAGCTTTCCCGTTTCCACTCTACCGTTAAACTCCGGGGTATAATCCATTCCATCTTTGATCTGTTATAATCCCGCGTTTATTCGTATATGTAACTAATTAAGCGCATGTAGCTCACCACAATTCTGCATCTCTCTGATCGATCGCCCCTTCGTGGCTTCGTTCATGCATGCAATAATATAAAAGAATGGGGAAATAAAATAGAGTAATTTACTGAAATAAGACTAAAACATAATGATTTTCCCAATATAGGAGCATATGTTTTTATTTCTCAATGTAGGACTTTTGGTCATTATGAATTAGTCATTATTCAAGTAAATGTCCATCATTACTGGACATTATTCCTTCCACGAAGACAATAATAAGTCTTATTTAAGGAATAAAAAAGTTTAAGTCCTAGATTAGGAAAGTCAATATGTTTTAGTCCTATTTAGTGCAGATTTCACAATAAAATAGGTAGAGATACGTCCTCTCTCTTTTCATGCCAAAATTTATTTATAAAGTCTCTATGGTGCATGTCCAAAGCTTGCATACAAACCCTTTCAGACTGTTTTCCATCATTCCTTTTTTGGATGTATAGATGGTATTGATGCTTATTTTTTAAGAAATATTTGCACTAAATAGCACTAAAATACAAATCATTTCTCAATGTAGGACTTAATTTTTTTTATTTTCTAAATAGCACTGAAAATTAAATGTCTAGAAAGAGGAATGATGTCGGGTGATGATGAACATTTACTTAAATAATGACTCAAAGTGCTACATTGGGAAATAAAAATATATGATACTATTTAAGGAAAATCATTGTGTTTTCTATTTTTTAAACCACATACAAGGTGTATCGAAGCCCATTATTCTATTTTCCGCATATATTTTTTTATAATTTTTTTTAGATTTCATGTTTTAAAGTTCAAAATTATTTGTATTTGAAATAAAAAATAACTCAAATAAAAAACTTAGCATATATTTCATCTGTCTCAAGTTAAATATTTTCATTTTTTTTCATAAAACAAAACTTTTTCGTACATTCAAAAACGAAAAATGCATGAATAGAAATATGAAATAAAATTAAATAAAAGAAAAAAAGAAATTGAAACGAAAAAGAAAACGGTACAAAAATACTCTTATTGAAAAGGAAATATAATTGTTACAACTTACTCGTGCAGAAGATATGCAGTAATTGTTTCCTTTGAGCAGTAGTCTGAAGAAACCCCATAACTTAAACTGAGTATGCAGTTGATAAAACAAGTATGATCATATGTATCAGATATATGTCAAGAAGAATTCGGGGAGGCGATAATATGCTACTTCATCATTAAAAGAACAACAGTGTGAGCTGCAATGCTCCTATTTTCCCCAAGGCTATCTACTTTCTCATGGGTTTTTGCCTTAAGGTTTACAACTGAGGGGTCTGCACCGAGGAGTTGGCACAAATTGGATCTAATAGCTTCCTTGTGAGGGCTTAGCTTCGGCTTCTGCAGGATCAAAGTGGCATCTATATTCCCAAGTTCATAGCCAGCATCATGCATCAGCCGCACCTGATACAAACGATATTCGATGCAAAAGTTAGATCACGTGCCAGCTTGTCATGATGACAACAGAAATGACAAAAGCTCAATATGAAAATATTGTTCGCCATCTTACCCC